ACGCATGGAGGAACCGCACTCTAGGTCGCCCGTGGAGCTTAAGAAACTCTGACAAATCAAGATTTATGACTGAAAAAGGTATTTGGAACGAAGAATAAAGAGAAAGTAAAAAATAAATTTTAACATTAAAAAATATTAAAATGTTCTAATCACATTTTCTTGTTATTTTAATCTTTTTCTACTTTGCGTATAAATATATGTATAAATATCAGAATAACAATTGTGTAATTAATTTAAGTAATGTTTTCAAATTACAATATTTCAATTAAATATAATAAAATATAATTTAAAAAAAAAAATATATATATATATGTATATAATTAAATTGTGTGTATGCTATATAGAATGTAGATAAATTGACGTTATATTTGAAGTAAAATATTTTTTTTGAAAGCATTTAAGATAATATTTATTTAAGATTATTTTAAGATATAATTATTCTAATAAGCATTTTAAGATATAATTCCAATAAGCATTTAAGATATAATCTTAATAAGAAATCTGATAGCAATTTTCAGAAAATAAATAAAATAAATTTTAAATATCACAATCTATTGATAGCATCATTATAAGATATCTTTTAATGAGCTTCGTAACAAGGTTTTTACATTTCCCTCGCTACCTTTTCTGTTTATTTTACATTTGCGTAACAATGCTACGCATAATCAAAAGAAATGTCGTCCGTTTTATAACGTGGGCGTGAAAAGAACGCACACGTGTAATACGACGCACGTAAATTACTTTACCTACGATCTTAGTTTCATTATCAGAAATAATGTAATATGTAGGAGTATAGAGTAGGCCGAGAGTGTGTATGTTATAATTAAAATTTTTTTCTTGTAAGATCGATGCATTAGAGAGGCTTGGCTCGTGAGAAGAGTAGGCAATCCCACTTTAATATAGCTCGGAAACTATAAAATATCGATATACTGATATTTTTACTCTTGACATTTTTCATATTCATAAGCAAGAGATAATTAATAAATCTCTGTTCCGTAATTAATCTTTGTATGAACTTTAACTCAAAAAATTTTAATTTTAGCTTTACCAAGTATATATTGTATAATGATTAATAAAAAATTGATAAACTGTTCAATAAAAAAAGATAATTATGAATATGTCACGCAATTTTTAGAGTGTGACGTTTCTCGAAATTTTTATGTATTTAAAAATACATTTATTCACTCACAAAGTATGCTTTTACTAATATTAACAATGGTTTGCCTTTTGCGACAGCAAAATGAATTCTCAATTAGTCTACAATTTGTCTCTCGTTAACCTCGTGTTTTTAGCCTGTTCGCAGAAAGGTTTGTTTACTCTTGACCAGTAGCATCAATTTTTCAAGGCCCACCGGATCGTTCTCTAGAGGAATCAATAGAATCGCTTTTAAACCACTTTCACAGACTTCCTGCCTATTGGTTTGAGTACAGAATCGACTTTTTAAGTGACAACCACGACGTATCCCGCGGTTTTTCGCACTTCATAATAACTATTACTCCGCATGATATCCACGAAAGCGGGATGCCATTCGTTCGACTTCCATTCATCGATGCCGCCGATGAATGAAAGTCAAAATCGGAAGAGGCACTTGGCCTTTGCATCTCGTTCTCCGCTGTAGAGTTAAAATCTCTTTTCTATCCCCCCTTTTCCCGCCGGTTCAAGAATGTCCCAAGTCATCTTCCCTCATCGCATTCTCTTCATTCGTCCTTTTTTCTCTCATTGAGCTGCATTTTGTCATTGTAAGCTCAACGAGAACTCCAAGCGAGAAATTTAAATTTTACGTGGGTTCAAGCCTTAGACTACTCCAAGACTACTCTAAGTTACAGATACTCCAGATCACACAATAGCTAAGTCTCGAGCGATTGTGAATGAAATTTTCTTACTACGGGTCCGGCCTACCGAGAAGAGGAGATTCTGACCATCTGGTCAATTCGATATATTACAAGGTTAATAATAACGGCCCCTCGGCCATCATTGAATCTGATGGCAATCCCTGGAGAGGCTCCAGAATCTTTATGCTTAACTTATGGCACCATGAGAGAAAGAGAAAAAAAGAGAGCGAAGGAAGCAGAAAATCATGTACAAAAATGACCTGGACACTATATGGACACGTGTTTCATGGGATCAATGAAAAGTATTCACTAGCCGGAAGTTCGACCATCGTTCTTTTGGTAGGACTTTGCGACGGAGGCACGGTCGGTTATTGATTTCGTATTAGCGCTCGAGGGAATTTCTTGTAAATTCACGTCGAGTTGGAGTGATGAGTTTTTCCCCGAGTGTTCTTTTTTTCTTTCCCGTTTATAGTCTATCGCGACGTTATGTATGCTGCTTCGTACTATCGTCTACATCGTTACAGTCTACAAGTAAACTACAGCTGTACTTTGCAGCTACAAGTAAAAACTGAGCTTTCTTTTATGCTTAATAATCTAATGGAATGGTGGTCGTATAGATCGCGATCAGCTAAAAACCGATGTTTTATGCTATTTTGAGAACAGACTAACTGAAGATGGGGAAAAAAGATAAGAAAATTGTTATAGAATAAATGTATAAAATTCCTCACGTGCAAAAAATCGGGAGATTATTTAAAAGAGATGCAAAAATTCTTAAGATATTCGTCACATAGCTATTAAATTTTTCGTTTTTAAAAAAATGTCACGTGTATTTTTCATATTATGTATTTATTTATATTTATGTTTATATATGTAGCAGAGTTGCGATTCAAAAATCTATTATTTTTTCAATTTATTATTTATGATTATCTATTTTATATTAAAGTCTTGTTTTTGATATTTCCTTTGCAACTTTGAAATCGGTAGTCGCAGAAGAAATATATGTGAGTGTCAGATGCCACTACATAAAAGATCGATTTTCTCATTTAATTTGTCATTAGGCAGGTGGCACGATTTATAGCTATATCGTGAACGGCTTCTTGGGAATAATAACGAAGATGAGCATCGATATGTTATACGTCGATGAGTAAATCGATTCTCATCGATATCCGACTTACCTTCCTTCAGATATCTTTTTACGATATATGTGCAATATTCGTATTCGATATCTATGTAAAAATAGATTTTGGCGAAAGAGTAATTTGTTGGGATTTTTCTTGTGAAATATATTACGTGTTATCGCAAATTTATCTAATGCAAACATTTATAATACTAGATCTTTTAATTTCCTATCCTATATTCTTACAGTCAATTATATTTTTTACAAACGCTTTCAATTTCCTACCAGACAAAGTCTGTATAAAATGAAAATTCATTATAATTATCTGCTTTAAAAAAATGTTATTTGAGTCTATTGTTTTCTCAGTACATTATACATTATTCGAGATTTACGCACATTGGCGAAACGGAAAACGTGATCGCCAAAGTGCAGCAACAATTTTATCGCGGCAATACAGTGTTTCCTTTCTCTTCTAAAAAGAATTTTATAGCAAGTATATCTTGGCGCAGGTTTCGCGAATCAATTTATTCGGTTGCAGAAAGGACGCGGGATTCTTTTGTCGAGCGAAAAGAATTTCTTTCGAACGTACGAGCTTCGGACGACGAGAATCGAAAATGTATCAAGGGGATGTTGCTATCGAGAGAAGCTTCATCTATTTCCACCCTTTGTACGACTCATGAAATCACGATTGCCGTTAAAACTGACCCTCGTCTGTCTTCCTTTACCGGTGGAAATTGCATCATGTGCGTAAAGCCGATCCAGAAAGACAGGCGATATCGCGTCGCGATACCCTTTTATCATAGTTCGCTCTTCGTGCTTAATTATCGGCTTTATACGTGAACTGCATCTTGCTTCGATTAATTGGTAGACGCATGAACGTGAATTGACATAGAGAATTATATAGAGAATTGACGTAGAAAGTTTCATAAAATAATTTTTTATATTTCCTGTACGTTCATAAAAAATATTATGCAAATAAAATATTATTTTTTAAAATAAAATTTACAACTGTTTATTTGCTGGATAAATGAGAATTTAGTATCATAAAATTAAATCTAAAAAAAAAGACTAATACGTATTTTGTAACAAACATTTAATTAAATAATATTAATTTTCTCTTCATATATTAACTTTACTTTTATATTTTTAAATATCAAATATTTATAATATTTATTAGCATTTACATATTAAATATTTTGAGATAACTATAAATAAAACTAAATTGTTGTTGAAATAAAAAAATTATAGCTATATTAACAAAAAATAATGTTTGAAATGTTTTAAAAGATTAATTCGTTAAAATTGTACAAAATAAGATTTTTCGCGTTTTCCCCAATAAATTGAATAAATATAATTTGCTACAATATATTCTAAAATAAGATAAAGAAACATTCTATGCATTTCTTGTTAATGAATTTTCATTGGATAGGATTGACACTTATCTTGTATAGAAAAATAATCTCTCACGATAAAATACTATACTAGGATATAATACACCTACAAAAGACATAGTCCGCTTTAAAAATGCCTTCAACCACTTTCTTCACTGACTTATTCTCTTGTTCTTAGACTACGAACGTTAAGAGCATTTGTGCTGTTTTTTATTACCAGTTTCACATACAAATAACGTTTACTCGAATTGTGCCGAATGGTACTCGCAGTATTACGAAACAGTATAGTTACAATTGCACTTCTCTCTCTGTTTCCGGCAGTAGATTTAAATCGCCATAAATTTTTAAGACATTAATTCTGGCAAAATATTTTATTTGTAAATAGCTTAAAATAATAATATTAAAAGACTAGACTAGAATTAACCTTCTGTTTAAAAGAAGTAGATTTTCTTTATTCATATTAAAATAAATATTAATTGCCCCAATTTTATATAATTAATGTTGAACTGATTTATATTGTATGACTTTCGAGATTATATGTTCTGACTTTCGAGAGGAAGAAACAATTGAACTTTATCTCGCCTTCAATAATATTAATGTTTATGAAAATATACTTTCTGTTACCGCTTTAGAAATGTTATAAAACAATTTCTCACTCACCGATACGAGCAATAGCGAAGTTGTAGTGCTCAGCAGTTGTAGTACTCAGCACATTGATCTGAAAACAAAATATTCAAATTATGTATATACATGCGTATATGCATATACAGGATGTTTTGAACGTCTGGAAACGATCGAATATCTCATACATAATACAGCTATGAAAAAATGATTTTATTTTGCATACCTCACAGTTGCCCCGCTGTCACCCGATGCCTCCACGGGCCTCCTCCTCCTCTCTTGGTCCTTTGTAGCACTCACGACATTCACGAAAACACGAATAATTACGATCGCCCGACAGTTTACCGTAGCACTCCCGACACGTGAAGTTTTACACGGCACTCCCGATACGACGCATGAATCGCATTGTGTATCCCAATGCTATCTGTAACAAATAAAATACGTACATATATTAGAATAATCTTATTATTTCGCATTATAACATACACAATATTTAGCAACATTTCTTTTTTACGTACATATATATGCTGTATTATTTATACATTTCTTATATGACTGTGAAATAAATGCCTTCAATTATTAAGTTTAGGTATTCATATCTACTTGGATAAAATTTGTGAAACAAAATCAACGAAAGTGCATTAGTCTATGTGCATTACTGTGTGTCGCACGTATGACTCACGATAATGAATTGTAAGCATTTCTCACTACGCACGTCAATTACCGGTTTCACGGCTAGTAATAGTAATAGTTTATCGATACAAACACAACGATCCTTTCGTGTTTTCACGCGCAATTGTAATTCTACTCTGCAATTACTTAAATTCTGCTCTAATTACAGATCCACGATCCACATATCTATTAATTTACCGTGTATCGAAGTTATTGAGTTTACTACTGCTATTGATTGTCGTGTACAATGCCACTGATTAAAATAAATGCTCTCGTGAAACGAAATGAACTGAAAGACGTGATTAAAATAAAATTATGCTAAGAATATTTAACATCGCATATTCTAGAAAAAGACTTGTTAATTGCATAAAAAATGATATCATTCTGTGCGAATTATATTGTTACATGTTTCAAGGAGACAGATGAATAATAAAGGTTTTATAATTCTGAAATGGCAACGAACGGACGATATAAGACTAGATATATTAGTTTAAAAATCCCTACAAAAGAAAACTTGTATATCAAAAAACTGTAGTTCGAAGTATCAGAAGAACATAAGTAAAGCATTCAAAAGGAGCAGAAACGGTGGTGAGTGCATTTGTGGTTAACTTGTGAATTTGTTTCGGTTTCGCGATGCACGCGTTCTCGTAAAACGATCGTATAAAAGAGCCGCAACCACCGTGTGTAACACGCGTGTGTATAAGTTTTTGCCTTTCGTCGGACTCCTTTCTGTACGATCGATTGCATCGAATGGCGATGCACTTGAGGAAGCATTCGAAACGTTTGCGAGGCGTGCACTTCTCATGGAGAGGCGTAAAATTTTTCGTGCTGCTCAAAGATTCTCGAGAGAGATCTACCGTGTCGAATCCCGACGGAGGGCTCCATTGCGCGATTCGATAAATCGACTCTAACGCGAGAAATCAGCGTGGAACGAGACAGCTGCTGAAGACAACTTTTGCTGATTTTTTTACAAGTTCGCAGAGCGAGTTTGAAAGTAAAATGTGAATCATTTTTTAGTAGCGGTTATTTTTTATCTAATCCCATATATTTTTTATGTAATAAATATAAGCACATTATATATATTCAAAAATTATATTCTTAAACATTTTCTTAATTATTCTGACTATATTTTTGAATATTGTATAATAAGAAATTAAATAACAATAATAAATAAAATAATACGATCTAATAATTACTAAAAAGACTTTGTTAAAACTGAGAAATATCTTAAAGAGCTTTTAAAGTTGCTCGCTTTCAGTTTTTAGTTACTAAAGAAATACGAATAAAAGAACTCGCTACTGCCTAGTAGAAAAATCTTTTTACTCAACTCGAGGATAGTATTCGAGGAAGTGTAATAGTATATATTATATGATCCATTCTACTTGTTTGAGAAATCAGGGAAACTTTTATTGCGCATAAATTTGCTGTCAGTGAAATAAAATTCCTGAGGAATACTGATCCTTCACTGGCAAGTGTGTATTAGTTTTCGGTAACAATTTCTTTCTGAATCGATGACGAGAAGTCGACCAATGAATTTCGAAAACCGAATGTATCGATATTTCTGCGGGGACAAACTTGTTTTCCTTCTGTTACATTGAACCCTCAGTCCAGTCCAGTCAATTTGTCAGAAAAAGTGAGACAGCGCGGCGCCAACAAAGCCAACATGTTAAGAAGTCTCATATTGTACTATGCGAGTTCGAAAGCCACGTCGGCAGAGGGAGAACATCGAATTGAAGAAATCTGAAGAAGCAGCAAAAATTTCTAAATAGTTCGACGGTCTCGCTAGTGGGATAGGTAGGTAGGTATAGATACGCGAACACCTGGTAGCTACCTGAACATCGCGAGGCGTGACGTAATTTACCCGGTGGTCGATCGCGAACAGTATACCCTCTTGACCCGCCCCTTCTCTTCATTAACGCACGTGAGCACAATAGAATGATCTCTGACAAATTATTGAATTCTGATGCAGAGGCAAAAAAAAAAAAATAAAATAATTCAATGGTTAGAAAAAAAACTGATACTATTATGTCAGATTTGCGCTTCAAAAATCTTGATAAAATAAATTAAATTATAATTAAAATATAAATACGACATTTAATATTTATCAATGTTACGTTAAAATATGTTTAATTGCCTTTGCAATTATATATGATAATATCACATATTTATTCTTTTAAATTATACATTTATCCATAAATTTATTGAAATGTTTGTGATAATTTATATATGTAAAAGATTTCCATTAAATTTCAATTGAGTAGAATACGGTTTCTAAAGAGCATTTTCTGCGCAACGTTTTGAAAGTACAAGAAGACAAAGCGACGATACTTTGTCATCCGACACAGGATCCATTTGGTTTAATTCTCGAAGAAAAGTACTGATGACTTTCACGCCTCGATTCTCGGATAAGAATTTGTCGTCAGCGTTGTTGGCATCGCAGCAGTCGATAAATCTTTTCTGGTGCGAATCTAATCCGGCTGACTATCGTTGCACCTGTGTTAAGTCCGTAAACTGGGAATTATGTTCTACCAGATTCGTCGGTTTTTTTTACTGCCAGTCGTATTGCCGATTCAGCGTTCGCTTTGACCCCATTAATTATTTGCATGCGAGTGCAACCGCAACGACGTAATATAAAATTGATAAGCTCATTGTTTCATTGTGAAAATAGAAATTTAACAATATTTGCTAGAATTACAACAAACAATTTTATTAAAATTATATTATAAAATATGAAATAAATTGTTAAATATGCAATATGTAAATTGCAATTCGAATTATATCAGTCGTCTAATTCAAAATATTAATTTGCGACAATAACATATCTGATAGGAAACAGAATAAAAATGCATAATAAAATTATTAAAATAAGCGTGGGCAAGCGCGTAGCATAAATAAAGAAATATTATAAAAGTGCAAAAAGGAAGAATATATTTCGCTCGTTGCTTCGATATAATATTTACGCGGAATACTAAATGCGAAAGTTTAATTTCAGAAAACCTCAAAACTTAAATTGAGCATAGAAATGAGCGTGGCACATTAAATTACAGGTCTTTAGACGGCAATATGACTGAAATAGTTCCAATTCCGCGAAATCTCGTTAAAGTTAACGTCACGGGATATTTGCTCTTTCAATCCTGCAATAGCGAAGATAATCCCAGCCGACTCAACTCTTCTCCGTAATTCACTGTCGAATGAAATCGAGGAATAAACGTCGTCATGCACACCGGAATATAGCGATTGGCGATAACCAATTAGAAAATTTATAAGTCAACCTAGTCCGTTCGAGATCGACAAGAGATCGTACGGTCCGCTTATTAATTTACGTTCCCGCCGGAAGAAGATCTGGTCGGATGAGGACGGGGTCGTGTGTGCTAAGCAAAGAACACGGGCCATCGAGTTCCCGATGGTATCTTTATATTGCATTATTGCATTAAGCACTTCTGTACACAACGAAGGGTACGCATCGCCTCGACCAACAATGAGGGCACCCACGGGGGCCCGTGAATCCTACAAACGCACGGCGTATTATAGGTTGCGCGCACAATAGGTGGGTTCGATCAAATACACGCAAAACTCCTCGTTCGGAACGCATGCAGAAAATCCTCGTCGGCGGATACAAACGCTATGATCGCGACGATACACGATCGAATACTTTTGCGCCCGATATAGCGTGATCGTATCGTTTGCTTGGGCTCCACCCTGGATTAGCCATCATTTATCGAGAGAACAATTACTATAACGAAATGCTGAATACGCATACAACATATACACTGTGCGTATTCTATATAAATCGAATAAGATGTTAAATGTTTACTAATTAATTTTAAAATATATAATTAGTTATATACTTTTTCTTCATCTGTAATTCAAAAAATATTTCTAATTTAAAGTGACCTATAATAAAGTTCTTAAAAACTTGTAATATTTAGATTATTCACAAAAATTGAATATATAGCAGTTACTTTAACATCAGGTAGATACGTCAGCTGTTAAATTCGTGAGAAATTTATATCTGTAAGCTTAAAATACATTGTACCTTCCTTGCTCGATATGCTATTCAATGCATATGTAAAATATATAGCAGACGTTTTATGAAACGTATCGTTTGCCCCTGAGGCGACCATTTTTTCTTCTTATATATACTACAGAAAAATTATAATCATGTAGCTTACAGACTAGAATTGAATGCCAAAACTGTTGATGTTTGTTTGGTTATGAAACTAGTCGGACAGGTCGGGTTCGGCCGTTTTAACGAGCCATTAAACGGCAGTTTGCTTGTTTCATGAGAATCGTTACGCTCCGTTATCGAATTTACAATCTACGCGAATATTCAACAAATAAATCGCAAGTCTCTCTTTTAATTTTTTGAATTAGTTTTAATTATATTGTGAATCACAATTCAAAAATAGAATAGTTTGAAAATTATTTTTTTCATATAAATTTTCGAGGAACTACTATCATCCGTTTTTATTAAAATAGACATTCTCGCATGGAAATGTGATTTAAGTAATTAGGATTTATATGTGTGTGTGTATATACATATATGCAGAATATTAAATTATACTAATAATAAAGTACGAAGTTATTTATTGATTAAACGGTTAATGTATTATATTATGGAGCTTATCCTTATTTTATTTATTTGATCCTGCTATATGCGATTTTATTTTACCTCATATTCTTAATCTGAATTATATTTAAATAAAAAAAAAAAAAAATCAAACAGTAAAACATATTCAGATGAAATATATT